CCCAGCTCCAGCACCTAGCCCAGCCCCGTCCAGCTAGCCCAGCCCAGTCCGGCCCCACCCAGCCAGCCAAGCCCAGCACAGCTCCGCCCATCCGATGTAGTACGCTCACATGATTATTCGTTCGGTCGTATGAATATGCCTTTCCTTCTACTTATTTTTTGACGATATCTGCGTTGCACGCGTCTGCATTCGGGCTCGTGGCCCCTATCAGGTTTTTTACCTGACTAGCTCCTTTGCCGCTTCAAAAGATGGAAGAGAGCATACGCACAAGAAAAAATGTGGAGCCCCCCCAACCTTCAAAAAGAGAAATCTGGTCCTCCCCCAGCCTTCAAAAAGAAATCGTAAGCCCCCCACTGCATGCTCCAAAACAAAAGAGTGTCCCCCCAACTTATTCGCGGTAAACGACGAGAGCTTCTTTCTGGCAGAGAGCTCCTTTACTTCTTGGTAAGCCACCTTTAGTCTTTAAAAGATTGAAGACACCTCGCTCCTAGCAAGAGAGGAGAGCTGCCGTATCTTCCAAAAAGAAAAGTCCTCTACCTCATCCTCGGCAAGAAGAGAATGAGAGCCAATGCTCGGAGAAGAAGAACTTGCATCTGACGTGCTTGATGTTTGGCCTGCCATCCGTAGACTCAGATCTTTCCCTTTGCTTGCCTTTTTCTGGCTTGCCTTTTGCCTTGGCTTTGGAATGAGCCTCGGCTTTGGTTTGAGGAAGAACTGGGGCAGCATTCTCGTTGTCGGTTTTGTTGCCCTTCTTATCGGATGGAGTGCCATGTCCTTTCCCACCTCCTTTGAACTTTGCCGGGAGAGCAGACATTGCGTCCTTGCCGGCCACCATCAAATTGTGACCAGACCTGATTTGCTGTTGATTCCTGTTCTCCCGATTCCTCCGAATACATCTGTCCATAATATGGAGAAGCTTCTGGTAAGAACGTTCCGGATCAGCATAGTTCAACATGTCATAATGCACGCAAAGCTCCTGCTACAATGCCGGTGACTCCTTGATCTTTGAATAGAGTGTATCTCTCAATGCGGTATCAGACGGAACATCTTCTGGTCGCATTCGATCAATGATCTCCAACCATGTCTGCTTGAACACGTTCATCTTCTGGTCACCTTGCTATTGCAACTTGATGAGAAAGTCAGTGACACAATCATGTCCAGTTGATCACGGGTTCTGAAGCTTTCGTACATCATGGCGATGATCTGTCTCCCTTTGAGCAGTTTCGATTGTTCGCGCATGAGCTTGTTTGCTGAGCGGTTGACGTTCAGGTACAAGTCTTGCGCGCCGTCACCACCATTCTTGATCATGGCAGTCATAGCCACACCCAGCTTGACGTCAATGCTCTTGAACTTGGTGTTCCCGGAATCATTAAGTGCATCAATGTCAGGATTCGGACGGAATGCTGGCTGAAGCCAAGCTATCCAGTCCTCGTGGTTTGGATCCGCGCAGGCACCAAGAACATTTGCGGCGCCGTTAGCCATCCAGCTGTCAAGGTGCGTCACCTTCGGGAAAGGTTTCGTCCTTTAGGTGCTGGATCATCATCACCATCACCGCCGCCAGGAGCACGTGGCCCAAGGTTTGTAGGAGACTCGGATGGGGATACTTCTTCTTCGGTATAAAAGTTTTGCCCGTCATCTCCACCTTGTTCTTGGTCGTATTCCTGTTGGAATTGTTCGGCAGCTTGCTTCCAGATATTCCGGTCCTCGCGCAACCTCTCCTCAGTCTTTTTGGCTTCACGTAGTTCAAGTCGAAGCTTGACCATTTCCGCTTCGATCCTCCCTAGGTGACTCTTGACGTCCGATGATGAGGACGGAGCAGTGTTTGCCAACTGAGCAATTTGTTCACATCGCGCCTGATCGAGTCGCGCCCAAGGCAGCGCCCCGTACACAGACTTGTCTTGCCCACCAGTTCCGTCCGCTCTCAAAACGTCCTGCTCGATCAGTTCAGCAATGAGCTTTTGCGTCTTCACATCATCATTTTCTTCCACAAAGCTGTTCTTATTGGTTGCCCTAGAGGACGCACCAAACTGTTGCGGAACACCCGTTGATGAAGAAGATGAAGCTCCTGGCATACCGCGCATTCTAAGCTGATTGTCTCGTGCCTCTTTTCCGGAAAGAGTTGTACTTGATGCTGGCACCACGCTTGCCGGCAACATTGGACTCGATTGTTCGGCGTTCACGTCGTGCACGATTGGCGATATTGCGGAGCAAGTATCAATGATGGTTTTACCTCTGTTAACAGGACTGCGCAGTGTGGGAGAGCCGATGTCAGGGGATCGCACATCGCTAGCTACCGGAAATGCTGACCCTTTCTGACTCCCTACTTGGCTACTCACACACTCCCATCCCGTCTCAGAAGTTCTCGATGACCGTGGTGCGTTCGACGATCTTTGAGAATGCTGCTGACTCCGCATGCGTTCGGCTTCGATCTCTAACTTCCAAGATTGCTGGCTATGTGTTTGAAGCTCTTCTTGTTGTTTGAGTCGAAGACGTAACTCACCCAGTTCGCTGTGTAGGGCAGTAATCGGACGCTCGCGTTCAGATACCTGACGTGCATAGGCTTCTTCTTGATGCATTCCCGCATTGGCTTCAAGTTTGGCGGCTTCCTCCTTGCTCAGTCGATCTTGTAGGGCACGAATCCCAGATTCTGCTGCAAGGACAGTACTCTTCGCCTCTTCTTTTGCCATCTGCTCTTCTCCTCTGATCATCTCGATCGCCTCCCGCATCGCTGCCACTTCGGATTCCCTGCTGGATGCTTCCATCCTGTACTTTAAAGCTTCGTGAGCTTTCTCATTCAGAGTGTGCGTTAGTTTGTGGTACTGCATAGCCATATTGTGTTCACCGTTTTGAGCCATCAGTTCCAGATCAGCAAAACTCTGTGAAGCTTCGTTGCGTAGTTGACCCAGTTCCTGATGTAGCATTTCTGCCGTATGCTCATCGCGTTGACGTTGGGCTGAACTCGCTTCTTCGATGCCTCTCACCACGTGGACGTACTCCTCGGTAGTCTCTTGGTGACGTCGACTCACATGTCCAACTGCATTCGATAGGATATTCCTTTGTCGTTCGAGCTCTTCCATCCTCATAGAAGAACCTTGGTCTTCTAGTTGGTGGAACTCCAGCCATTGCACCATGTGCCTGACCTGCTGATTCATCACAGCCATGCCTTCTTCATGCCTTTGAACTTCACGTTCATGGAATTTCCTCATCTCTTCCTCGGCATGAAGAATCTGAGGTACACGACTCTTCTGCAGATTGTGGTGTCTGGCGTGTCGGACCAGCGTTACCCAAAGCTTGAAGATTGCTGCAATCTCCACTTCGTCGTGGGGATTGGATTGCCTTGTCCAGCAGTGCGTCAGCGTTGTCAGTACTTCCGGAGGGGGCTGAACCCAGGCTCCTTGTCAAAGGCACAGGATCCAGGTCTGCCTCCCGTCTTCTCACCAAAGGTGCCGAAGACTCAGATGGTTTCCTGACTGCTTTCCGCGACGCACTTCGGGAAGAGGATTTCGATCTCGACTTTTCTGGACTCTTGATCTCACGATCCTTCGTCTCTGTGAACAGTTGTAGACACTGCATCACCGTTTTTGATGGTCGTCTGTCGAGTGGTTTGGGCTTTGATCCGGTTGATGTAGATCTTGGCGTCGATAGCGTTCTTGGTAACGATCTTGCCCTCGTTCTCTGGTTGACGTGTTGTGACGATCCCGATGGCTTTGTCCCGCTCTTATCATCCGTGGTCGCTGAGTCCACAGAGATTGTTGTTGTGTCGTCGACAGTTGAATCTGCGACTGCAGGCATTGCCACGTCGCCACCAAAGGTCATGGTTGTATCTGCACTTGATCCAGATGTCATTGCTGGTGTATTGACACGATGACAAAGTCCTTGTGTAGGCAGAGCCTTCGGCTGATAACCTGCGTGAGGGTTTGGTCTTTGATATATGATATGATTGCTCACCTCACCGAGCTTCGTGTTGTAGTTGTGGTTGCCTTCTACCAAGCACTGGACAACGTAACCCAAGCAGGCAACTTCAGGTCTCTTTTCCGCGTCCTCGCGATGCAGCTGAAGTGTCTGTGCAAGGGGGCAATACACGCAATTGCTGATGTCTGGAAACAAGAGAAAGAATAGTGCTTTCTACCTTAGTCCTCTGCCTCGTGCTCTTTGAGCTCGTGGCTTCGGTTTGACTTTTGACTTGAGCCAAACATTCGCCGGGGTGCGATAGATCATGGGATAGCTCAAAGCTGATCACCATGTCTTTTGTGTACTGGTACATGCGTCTCATAGCGGGTCAACATGGATGCCCAAGGCAGTCCATGTGACGGTTGACAATATTGCACTAGGCATCGAGGTCTCTTCACAATCACTATATATATATATATATACATATTGTATGTCGCATGAGGAGATGACAAGCGAAGTATACAGACTTTATCACAAGCCGAATCTGTGAATGTGATTAGCAAGCTGGCTTGGTGTGTGTAGTACATATCATGCGCCCAACAGGCGGGTCAAATGATACATAAAGCACTCCTCCACACATATATATATATATATATGTATACAGAAAGCGTCGCACTATATATATATATAAATAAATATATAATATATATATATATATATATATAATATATATATATATATAATATATATATATATATATCACAAAAAATTCCTACTATCCGTGTATCAGAAACCCCGCCGGACGAAGGGGCCTTTGCGGAGATCACTGCATCGAGCAGCAGCCAAAAGCTGCTGAAAAGCTTCCTGCACGCGGAATGACACAGAGCAGTTCACGCAGCGTGCCCAGATCAAAGAGCGGCAACATGCTGTGAAGTGCGTGTGTTGATTGAACCAAGATTTTGCAGCTCAGGCGCATTTCGTCGAGTGTGCCCCGTTGCCGGGATCACACAACTTCTGCGTTCCTGGTGATCCACAACGCTTTCACAGCTACTAATTAAGTATACCAGCGGCCGGCTGCGATGCGAACCAGGCTCCAAATGGAAGATGTGCCCGGATCGACAGGGACGGCTGGGATTCCTCCTTCAGCCCCCGGTGCTTGACCCGGACTCGAGCCCGATGCGTCGGGTGCAAGGTTCGTGACCTTACGTTATGCCCGTTATGCATCCCTCAGACGTCCGATCCAAACATGTTGAAGATACATTGAAGGCAGTACGGGTGACGCAGATCCCTCGGAGACCATCAAGGCTGCAGATCGGAGACAGTTCAGCGACGACACCCGCGGCAACAACACCGGGCGCAGCAGTGGCCTCTCAACACCACCACCGGCACCACCACCAAATTTCACATGCAATAACCTGACTGAAATCCCGGCCACTCTGCCACTAAAGATTGCTCAAAGGTTGAATGACGAAGGACTGGTTAAATGCATGCAGCTGCATGCAGTGCCCAAACGACAGGCATGCAACGAAGAAAAGCACTCTCTGTTTCACACAAGTTACAAGAATCGGCTGGATTTGGTGGTGCCCCGCATCTCTGCACGGCCTGGATTCTGGTTGCCGACAGTGGTCTGAAGGGAGAGCTGGGACCACTCTCAGACAGGGGTACATCGGAGCTGGTGATTTCTCAACCAAGGCACTCCTGGCTGGTTACTTTTTTTGGAGAACATTCGAGACAGATCGTTTTCTCGAGGATGTCTGCGGCATGCCGGGAAGGTGAGACTGCTCTGGCTCTCAGCGCTGATCTGCTACATGCCGCCGAAGTCTGCCCTGAGTAGAAGGGATCGCCGAAGCCAAAGTGTAAATTTGGAAGGTCAGCGCTTTTTTCTCTACATCGTGGCTCTGAGCCCACGGCGTCGGGTTGAAATCGGGATCTGCTGCAAGCTTCTGCCTCATCCTTTCCATATGTTCTTGAAGCCTGCTGTCGCAAAGCCCGCAGGAAATACTCAGTGTTGGTACTTGAGAAGGAAAAAGACGCAGGGAGAGTGCAAGGCACTAATTATCGCGAGGGGCAGCTGGGGGCCGGTTGGGGTCATGGGAAATCACCAGACGGAAACCAGGACCATGAAAATGTTCATGTAAACCTACGAGCATGTCGATACAAGACCCTGGAAATCTCCAGGATGTTCTAGATGGATGAGGCCGAACTGTACCAAAAATCAAGTGAGCATCACAACCTGTGAACAAACTGTGGTACCGAAACAGTTCGGTGACAACCCGGTTTGCCGTAGATCGGCGGACGAAAGAACCCAGAGGCGCAGGGTGTTTTTGTAGCCCCTAGTGAATACCCGATGAGCCCCGGCAGACTAGAGCTGAGGAGCTTGTCTGCGGTGTCCCTGTCGAGAGTGCCGGACCGCATCTTCTCCAGGAGCTCCTGTCTCATTAGTACGATGTAATATGACCAACAAAAAGGTGCCGTCTTCTCCTTTGCTGCACAGTGTCAAGTGGCTTGTTTTAGGTAACAGACGCACCAATGACTCCTGCTACTTTGCATGTTTCAGGCTTCCTGCCTGCTTCAAACTCGAGTTTTAGCGTTTCAGAATTTGCTGCGTCGGGATTTCGCCTGGGAGCTTGCTCCAGATTCAGAGGTTGGTTATTGAGAATGGGTGGGTTGGGTGCGGGGGTGGGGGGCGGATGGGGTGGGGGGTGATAGCGACATGTTGGACAGCGACATTTTTCGAATACAGGGCTCTTGATGCTAATACTTCTCCTTATTTGCTGTCTGTACTATAGGTTTTCCTACTATTCAGGGAAGTCAAAAGGATCCAGGGCCTCTTTCGGCAATACTAGTGCTACTGATTTTTGGTTTCTTCCGTTTTTCGAATACAGGGCTCTTGATCCTAATGCTTCTCCTTAAATGATGCTGAACTCATGTTGAAAACAAAAAACAGAATATAAACGGATATATTTCGGAACAGGGCCTCGTTCAACTACCTGACTTGAACCTCTGGCAACTGAATATCAGTAACTCTGGTGAATGAGCGACAAGCACGCACAAACAACGAACTCTAAAAACGTCATCAACGTAAAGTTTTGCCTAAACGCTTGCTTCAGAATGTGCTCAAAACCGCTGTATGCGCACAACATGCCCCATGTGACCCCTCTCGAGGATCGCGCTCTTCCTTGCAACACATGTCCCGAGCAAATGCGTGCTGAAACCACAGTTTCGCGCACGTTTAAAGCCTGCACACCGACACACTCACACGCAAACCGTCAGGAGTCACTCGAGCCCCCGTTAGTTTTAGGAGCAGGCGCCCGTACGGGGTCGTGCGTTTACACACAGTTCCGAGCGGGGTGGGGGGCGGGGTGGGGGGAGGGCTTGATAACGTGCCTCTGACTTCGTCACCTAGTTTGACGGGGTGTGGTCTTTCCGTAAAGTGTGATGACTGTTGTATGCTTTGCTGGGTGAAACAAACGATCCGATCATCCCGACGAGCACGTACATCACAAATCCACCAATCCATCCCAACACACACACACACACACACTCCCAAGACAAACTTCAACCAAGGAGGATCCAAGCGAACATCGCATTCACGAACTCCCGTTCGATCAGTCCACGGGCCCAGGATCATCTCCTCCACGAGCAAGGTCTGGCTGTGGATTTTCCATCCTGTAGCATCACCATGTAGGTCAACTTCACCCTCATCCAACTCACAAATTGCGACCACCCCGTTCTCATCAGCAGCAGCTGCCACACCCACAGCCATCTCCAGCGTGTCACGAACAGGTTCTCCCGTATCCACGTAGTAGGCAACATAGGTGGAGGATGCCCAGGGGAAGCTCAGAGTGATGAGGTTCTCCCAGAGCAGCATGAGGAGGCAGACCAGACCGTCTGGGGTGTGGTTTTAAGGAGCTTGTGAGTCAAAATGCGTGACAGCAGCGAGGATCTGCGACGGAGAAGCTAGCAGCTAGCATCCACGGCCCAAACATCATCGTGGATAGTCTCATCCGTTCTGAGAAGAGGGCATCCATGGCCCAAACATGATGACGTGCGTGGTCTAATCCGTTCTGGGAAAAGAGCAACCATGCCCCAAACATCATGGCGTGGATGGTCTCATGGTTATCAGAAGTCTTTCTGATCCATGAATGTAAACCCTAAACATCCCTAAATCCCTAAACCCTGTTTTCGGAAAGAAATGGTGCTAAATGACGGCCCCGTCACGCCAGTAGAGACCCCGCACCATCAGCACTATACAGTCATACACAACATG